GCCTGCAGGGGGGGCAGTCTGAGGGGAGTATTTAGGGTGGGAGCAGTCTAGGGGGAGCAGTCTGCAGGGGGGCAGTCTGTGGGGGGCGGGGCAGTCTGCAGGGGCGGGGCAGTGGGGGGGCGGGGCAGTCTGCAGTAGCACCTGAGGCTCTGGGGAGGGGCGGACTTCCCTCAGGGCCTGGGAGGCTCCCTCCGGCCCCTGACCCTCACTGAGTGGGAGGTTCTGGGGTGCCCATCCCACAGAGCACATAACCCAGGATCCCCACCTTGGGGACTCCGAAGGGTCTGCAGGAGGCTTTGCTGTCCACGCAGGCCTTGAGCCAGGTCGGCTGGGGCCCAGTGCTCTATCGGGAATGTACCCACAAATCCCAGCACAGCTCTGGGGAAGTCTTGGGCCATCAGTACACATCCCCAGGGACCTTGCTCTTTTGAAACACAAACACTGCTGAGGACAACAGGCATGGCCATGGCTCCCACAAGGAGAACACAGGGACACAGAGAGGGTGAGTGAGCTGCCCAAAGACACCCCGCACACCAATACACGGCATCAAGTAATCACGACCCCACAAACTAGCCTGGACGCTACAGGGGGCACAAGGGGGAGGGGGCATTGGCACGCTGGGCTGTCAGGTGGCGTCCTGGGGGCTGTGGCCAATCTAACCATCACACACAGAACATAGCAGCTTTCTAGCAGTGAGGGTGAGAGGACATCTGAACCCTGACCCCAATCAAAGCCAACACGGAGCACCCACGCGCACCGTGACCCCACACCTAGCCATCAGCTAGGCTGTGTCTCACAGTGGGGCCTTCCGGCCAGGCCTGGTGACAATGGCAGTGGCCGGCACCAGGCCCTCCACGTGGGCCGCAAACACCCACCAGTGCTCGTCTCCCGCTGGGACGTGTGCCGTGGACCACAGGCCATGTGCAAGGAGGCGGCCGGCGGAGCTCTCTACCTGCCTGTCCCATAGGCCGGGCTCCAGCCTCGTGCGGGCTGGGCACTCGCTGGACCACTGAGCTGACCCCGGCCCAAGCTCCACGTCAGATCCCGACTCAGACCCTGTGCTGCTGCCAGAACAGAGCCACGCGCCTCCTGGCAGCCGCCCTGCTCTGCCCCCTGGCAGAGGTGAGGTGGGGGGGGGGCGCCGGGCAGCTGGAGGAGGAACAGGCCCAGGCTACAGGGAGACAGGTGCAGGGCTGAGCGCAAGAGGGCCACAGGGAGGAGCACAGAACGGAAGAGGGCAGCCATCAGCCAACAGTGCCCTCATCACACAGGGAGTGGAGGTTCGAAGGTCGGGGGCTCCCCCCTCCCCCCCCTCCTCTGGACAAGGCATGGCCATGGAGCCCAGGAAGAAGCTTCCTGCCGGTCTCCTCGCGCTGTCTCCGTGGAAAGGCCACTGGGGGACCTGACCTGGTCCACCATGACCCGCTCCTGACCCTGCCCCCTTCTCTGTGGCAAAATGGCCTCCCTCCAGGACATGCGCATGGTCCTTGGTCACAGCCCAGCACAGTGCTGCACTGGCCTGTGCCCGGCTGTCCACCAGCACACACAGCTGGCTGGCCACTGGCTCTGTGGTTCGTCGGGGTAACGGACCACGCCCTTCCGTCTGGACCACGAAGGACGAGCCGCAGTCTGCACAGCGCACGCCACAGCTGGGGTGAGGCAGGGCCCTGCCTGGCCAGGGACAGAGTGGGGCGCGGGGGCTACTGCCTAAGTGAGGGTCGGCAAAGGGGCGTCCTTCCCTCGCTGAGCCCAGAAGCCTCAAAAGGTAGACGGCACCCGCACTGAGCAGCAGCTCGAAGCCCGTCCAAACGACAGGTCTCACATGTCTGAGGGGTGGGCGGGCCAGCCAGCTGTGGCTGGAGATGCGGACACCGCAGGCACAGACAGCCATGCTCGCAGCCCTGCCGGCCAGGGCTGACGCCAGGTCCTGGGCTCTGGGCTGCCCGTGGGGATGCAGGCAGCACGGCCTACCGCTGCCACCAGAAAAGCTTCCTAGCTGGTCATGTAGATGACAGGAGACGGCTGCGTCTTGACAGAGACCTCCCCTCCCCCTCAGGAGAAGACAGCCACAACTGTCCCCTCTCTCCATCTCTCCAACACCAACCACGGGGACCCCAGGCCTTTGCCAGAATACCCCAAGTATGTACTCGTTCAGTATTTACTGAATGCTTTCCTGGCCAGCCCGTTCCTGGGGTGCAGGGCTCCGTGGCCTTTTCTGTAACAGGAACAGAGAAAGGCATGAGCCGCTTGCTTTCCCTGGCCGCTGCCATGACAACCCAGAAGCTGCTGTGAAGATGTGGTGGCTGAGTTCCAATAAAACTTTATTTACACAAACAGGAAGAGGGCCGGGCTTGGCCCTTGAGCCACCCAGGAAGCAATGTGTTTTTCTCTCAAACAGCCACTAAAATAAACACACAGTGCTATTAAAACTTACAATGCTTGAGCTTGTAAACCACCCCCAGTTGTCCCAGGAAACCTTTGCTTTGGGAACGTGGCCTTTTAACAAGACCCTGCACCACCCAGATTGGAGTCCCGGAAATTTCCAGGCTCAAAAGGAAATGACCAGTTCTCCCTGTTCCATTTCCAGCTTCTAGGAAGGCTGCCACCAGAGACGCCCTAAGGGCGCCTCAGCTCCTGCTACCACTCACCAGGGCACACCCACACCCACACACCCACACGCACACACACACGTGCGTGCACGCGCACACCCACACCCACATGCACACGCACACACGTGTGCACACATGTGCACACACATGTCCACACACTCGCACGCGCACACACGTGCACACGCACACACGTGCACACACGTGCACACACGCACACACATGGACCTGCCCCAGGAGGTGACAGTCCATGCCGTGCTCACCTGGCTTTTGCCACGGCGCCGGTAGCTCCGCCTCACCAGACTCTTGTAGTTCTCATTCTTCTTGGTCAGGTAGTAGTAGAGGACACACTCGGCCACCGTCTGCAGGAGGCAGAGGTCGGGTTCAAATCAGGCTCCACCACAGCCTGAGAGGTAACCCAGGTGCCAGGGCTCGGCTTGCATTGTGGCTGTGGACGGCCATGGGGAGGCGGGAAGGCTGACCCTCCACGGGCCGAGGCGTGGGGACCCAGCCACCTGCATCCATCCAGCCTTCCCCAGTGTGCGCGAACAAGCCGCAAACCCAGACCTGTCCTTGTGGCCATGCCCCGTTCCTGACAATGCCCGGCCCCTGAGCAGCCCCCTCCAGCCGTCACCCATCAGGACCCAAACGATGTGCCACAGGCACTTGGCACAGGACCAAGCCAGACGCCAGCCCACGAACCTCCCGGCATACTGGGGGACGCTCTGAGACCCCCGGCCAGCGCCAAGCAGGGCACCTTCCCCTCCAGGGGTCAGCCCCCCCCCGCCCTAAACACAAGGCAGCGACAGCCTTCACCCAGAAAGTACCGCCCACTGAGGCTGCTCTGTGGGGCCACAGCAGCGACCCGCAGGGGAGAACATTCTCCAACCAGGCCAACGCTGGCAAAGTGGGCGAGGCGGGTGTGCGGGGCTGAGACCTCGCCCCTGGGCTGGCACCGCAGCTCCACCTTCTGAAAGCTCTAAGCCACCAAGGCCTCCTGCAGACAGCACCACCACCCAGACGGGGTGCTTCACCCCGAATCTCAGCAGCAGGCCTGCGCGGGGGGCCTCACCTGCCTCCTAGCCATCCACCCCCCTGTGAGAGGTGAAGGGAGGGGAGGGGAGGGGAGGGGAGGGGAAGGGAGGGGAGGGGAGGCTATTTCTAGGGCTGGCTAGGTGAGCAGCAGCCTGCAGAGGGCAGACACTGGGGTGACAGTTACCCGGCCCAAGGCGTTGAGGCTCAGGGGTGCATACCCGTGGTGAGGACCACACAGGCGTGCCCCAAGGTGGGCAGTGGGGACGCCATCCCGCTGTGCCCAGCGCTGCCTCTGGCAGCCCAGCCTCCTGGCACGCTGAGAGGAGTGGGCCCCGCCCCGGGACACCTGTGTCTCTGCCGATGGGCGCTGCCCCCAGGAGCCCTGCAGGCTAGGGCTGGGGGCAGGGTGGGCTCGTGTGTCATTTCCAGAGGAGGGTTTACCCACAGTGGATGGGGGGACGTGTTGGCATGGGCCAAGAGTGACACGGGGGTGCCCAAGAGGCAGTGACCAGAGAAAGGCTCTGGATCTCCGGGTGTGGACCCCACCCACCTGCAAGGCCTTCACTGGGCCTCCAGGCAAAGCCAAGCTCTCAGACCTGCCCCAGCCTGAGGGTGCTCCTCGGGCCTGCGGGGCTCTGGGGACGCCTGGTCTAGCAGCTCCCCTGAGCTTTCGGGGCTCTGGAGGCCCGAGGCTCCTCCCAGGCCTGGGTGGGGCCGTGCAGCTTCTCCTGAGAAAGGAGGGAGGGGCGGGGACGCCAGAACCAGGCCAGCAGAGGGGAGGCCGGGCGGGCGGGCGGGCTCCTCCCCCGATGGGCGCAGGCGGGACACTCACCTTCCTCTCCAGAAAGGAGGCGATGAGGCCAAAATTCTTGGGATGCTGCGTGAACCTGAGGAAAGAGCAGGGTGGGCCAGAGGTCAGGCCTCGGGGGGCCCTGAGGGGCGCCCGCCATCCCCGGTGCCCGCTCGGAGCTCAAGGCAATTAATCTGGGGGTGTGGGAAGGGCTGCGGCAGCGCGGGCGGCCCGGGCGGAGGGCGTTCCTTGGAGTGAGTCACCAGCTGCAGTGCCTTTGAAAATGTATTTGTTTGTCCTGCCGGAGGCTTCCAGGAAAAATGAGGACACGACATGCCTGTCTGTGGGGTCCCCCCCCACAAGATCAGCTATTGTTTGTCTCCCCAGCTGGACCTGGGAAGCGAGGCCCCGGCCGGCCACAGGCCCACCCGGGCGCGGGGGTGGCTAGCCCCGCGGGGCTTCCCCGGGAGGGCGGGCACTGGCGGGGCGGGCCAGCAGTGCCCGGCAAGGCTGTCTGTGGGAGGGGCCTGAAGGGACAAGGTGGCGGGAGCTGGCGCGGCCACCGGCTTCCTGCAAAGCTCGGAAAGTTCCGGGGAAATCACTCAACTGCTGGAATGTCAGGGCCTGGGAACGGGCGGAGGGGATGGCGGCCCGGCGGGCGGGGAGGCGGGCCAAGGCCCGCTCAGCCACAAGGGTGCTGGCTGGGGTCACTGCCCACCCTGGTGTCCCCACAACCTGCCACCACCGTGGGCTTCCTCTGGCAGCGAGTGCCTGGACCTGCCCTGCCAGGCCTCCAGAGGGCCGGGCAGACAGCCAGCAGGGCCCTTCTGTTCCTGGCCAGTTACTGGGAAACCCACAAGAGCCTCTTCCCCTCGGGGAGGAAGCGGCAGTGCCAGGGCTGCAGGTGGTGACGGCCGCGGCTGTGCTGACTGTCTAGAGGTCCCACCCTCCAGACCCAAGGAGCCCGAAGATCAGACTTCTCACTTCAGCCGACTCTCTGCCCCTCCCCGCCCCAACAGAACTGCTCTATTTCAGTCAGAATCCTGCCTCCGCTGCTGTGTGGCCCGTGGTAAGCATCTGAACCTCTCTGGGCCTCTGGTGCACTGCCCACGGGATGGGACGGCTTGGCTGGGCTGTTCTGAGGCCCAAGAGGACAAATGAATGAGTGCCGTAGACGCCAGGACGCCGCCTGGGCCCAGCCTACACTGACGTCCCCGGCTGACGCCCACCGGCCCAGCGGGGCGGTCTCACTTCTCCCGGAAGGTCTCCTTCTCCTGCTCGCTCCACATGTTCATGACTTGGCGGTCCTTGTACACCTTCATGGGGTCGTCCATGAGCCCATTCATGTTGATGAACTTGATCCGCTGCTGGTCTGCGTCGTACAGCATGGGCGGAATGACGGCCAACTGTCGCATCTGCTTCTCCAGGTTCTGCGGCAGAGGGCAGGCGGGCGGGGGTCAGAGGCCAGCCGGCCAGGCAGGCGGGGAGGGAGGCAGGCACCCTCCTGGGAGCCCTGGGCTGCCAGGAAGTGGACACTCCAAGGAGCAAGACACCAACGAGTTAAAAACCACCGACGGCTGGCGCAGGCCAAGGGAGAATTTAAAGGCGCTGGGACAGGTTTATGGAGGGCAGGGCAGTAAATTAGAGACTCAGGGCAGCAGCCGCCTCATCGGCAGCAGAAGGCGGCCATGAATTTTCCCTTTGGAAAGGTAACTACCATAAAACACCATAGGGAAGACACATGGCCCAGCTGGGCCCGCACTCTGGAGATGGCACTGCCAGGCAGCAGGCCTCTGGGCCAGCTTCCCCAAGGGGCGAGCAGGGGCAGCTGGGAGGAGCCCCAGGCACCAGCCTCAAGGCCCCCCAGCCCACACAGCAGGAGGCAGGCAGCGCCCAAAGCAAGGGCTGACAGGAAAGAGGCTGAGCCGCCCTGGCTGGGCCCGCCTCCCAAACCCCCACAGCCAGCGGATCACCGGGGAGGAAGGACCTGTCCCCAGAGGCTCAGGGGCCCAAGGCGTCCACTGCTGGCATTGGCCCTCCTAACTCGGGGCTCACGACACTCAGCGGATGGCCATGTGGGCCAGCTCAGGGCTGCGTTCTGAGGAGCCCCAAGCAGCCTTCGTGGTACGCACACCTCTGACCCCCCCTTGGCTGCCAGACAGGCAACTGGCACAGGCCACGGATCGCCCGCTGGGGCTCCTTCCGCCGCTGCCCTGTCCTGGCCGGGCGCCTTCTGACTGGAAGCCTTCCCGGAGGATGGATGGCGTCCCTGCCCGTGCCGGCCTCCCTCCCAGGCTCCCAGGGGAACGCAGGGAGGCTTGGGAAATTTCTGTCTCCAATTCTATTCCCAACCCTCACTCCCAGAAATAGCTCACTCGATGGGCTATGTGGGGCCAGGGTGCAGCAGGGCCCTGCTGGGGTGGGTGACACTTAGCCTAGAAACGCCCAGCTCTAGCTGTCAGTCCAGGACACACAGAGGAGAACTTCCTTCCTGTCTGCCCACGAAACCCACCTCTCTACCCACAGGCACAGGACGGGCGCCCACAGGCAAGACGGGGGCCGCGCGGCTGTGGCACGGCTGCCCCGGCTCTGCTTCTACCCAGCGGCCACTGTTTGGAAGCGAGTGTATCACCAGGTGTTAAAATTAAGACTTTTCTTGAAAGGCCTGCAGGCCTCTGTGAACCACCTGCATCCAATCACTCTGGACGGGGCTCCGGGGAGACTGAGGTCTGGGCCGGCCCAGTGTGCCGTCCAGGGAGGGGGCGCGGGCCCCAGGAGTTCCACTGAAAGACCAAGCTTTTCCTTTCATTCCATCTTCACCAACTTCAAGTTCCAAACAGCCAAGAGCAGGACAGCTGGCCTGGGCAGGGCAGAGGCTGCCCCTCTGAGCCAAGTCTCCAGGGAGGAAAGCGGTGGCGTCTGTGCTGAACACTGGGAACAAACGTGTCTCCAGCCTGGCTCTGTGTCCTGGCGGGCACGGCCAGCATCACCGAGCTGGCCTCTAGGGGGCCGGGTACCTGGCTAAGCCTGCGAGAGCACCTGTCAGAGACAGACTCCTGCGGGAGGGTCTCCGCGGTGCGCCGTGCGGTCAGCCCCAGCTTCCTGCCGCCGGGGCACCAGTGGCCACACAAGCCAGTGATTCTGCCGGCCCCTTCCACACCCCGTGGGGACCCCTCTGCAGGCCACCACTGCCCTGGGGCCTCTACCTGCACCCCACATTCCTGTGGCACCTCACTAAGCACTTCCTGCTGCTGCAGCTGCGGCACAGGGAAGTGGGCGGGGCCAGGGCTGCACTCACCTCCTGCTCCGAGAGGCCGTCAATGATCTCAGACACCTCGTGCTCGCTGCGGGCGGCTGACATGGAGAGTCCGCTGCCCCGCTGCCCCACACGGCTGCAGACCAAAGGGATCCAGTCAGGACCGGCCCACCGGCCAGAGTCCTGGGCAGCATCTCAGGGGAACCCTGAGCCCACAGCAGCCTGGAAGGCCACAGAGCTGGACGGCGGGTGACAGGAGGCTGTACTGCACCGCCAATCCCAGACTCAGGGACCCGGAGAAGGCTGCCCCCGCCCCGCCCATACCGATTCCTAAAGCCAGCCTGAAGACGCAGTGAGACCTGGCACAGATCCTTAAGCAAAGTCACTCTGTGCCTTGGTCTCTCCACAGTGATGGGGTTAGCGGGTGGCAGCAGCCACCTGTCTGATTTTTGGCCGCTGTTCCTAGTGAGCAATGGCTGATCGCTAAGAATAAACAGCACCCTCGTCCCCACGCCCTGCCCACGGCCACCCTCACAGCCGTCACGGGAAATAGGCCCATCTACAGCTGCTGCACAGGGACTCAGACACAGCCGCCCCTCCGTCTGGCAAGCTGCACATGGAAGCGAGGGGCAGGTATGATCTGAGGCCCTCAAAGGAACACCGGTCCCACCGACACAGGGCTGGGTTCTGAGCATCCCAGAGAGCAGCAGTGCGAGCAGGCGGAGGGCCTGTGCTGTCCCAGTGCCCCCTCACCATGCGGTGGGCACGCGCCTCTGTGCTAGCTGGTTCACCTCTGCACAAGCGTGCTTCCACCAGAGGTCCTGCCCCGCCGCAAGACCTGCCCCATCCTTGAGGGCCTGCCCACATCTCCATCGCTCCCGCCTGCTCTGCCAGGCTGGGCCAGGGCTTCGTCCACCAGGTCACACCTCCTCTGCCAGTGACCGCACCTTCGGCAAGGACATGCATCCTGGCCCGCCCCTCCCGCAAGGCCCCGCCCCTCGCTGTGACTACCTCCTTAGGACACGCCCCCGGCTTGTCCATTCCACGCAGCCCCAGGCACTGTGACCACACACACACACACGCACACGCACACGCAGCCCCCTCACCTCTGCATGCGCTCCTGCAGCTCCCGCTGCTTGCGGATCTCGGGGAACTGCTTCTCGTAGTACTCCCGCACCTTGCTCTCCTTGGCACGCCGCCGTGGGTTGTTCTCAATGCGCTCCACCTTCTTCTCCCAGGCCTCCATGAGCTGGTCATAGCGCTGGCAGAACTTCTGCTCCTGTGGGCCAGGCGGCGGCTCTGAGTGCCCCGGCTCCTGCTGCCCACACTCACGCTTGCACAAATACACTTGCATACACACACACACGCGCACACACAACAGAGGCAGACAGATGCACACTTACACAGATCCAAACACAGGCCAGCATGGGCAGAGGACACAGAGGCCCGGGCATCCCAGTCGGGAAAGGGACGTGGCCGCGGTCACCTCCTGAGAGGCCTCATCCCGCCACTGGAGAGAGCAGCGTGACTCACGCTCATGCCTCGGGAGCCACTGGGCGCCATGGGTGTCACCCTGCCTGGGCAGGTCCTCCCAGCCCTCCAGGGAGTGGACTGGGCAAGGGGGCCCCAGGCATCGTGTGGCAAGCGAAGGGCCCTGGGAAGCAGCGCTTCTAGGGAGTTCTTGTTCCTGGGCCTCACAGCCCCCATTCCCAGCCTGAGCCCAAACTCCAGAGGGCCCTGCCATCCTGCCAGGACAAGGCCCTGTCCAAGTCGAACCACAGTGCTCCACAGCCCACCATCAGCCCAGACATGCCAGGCCTCTCCTTCTCCTCAGAGTAGCCTGGGCCGGCCTGTGCAGGCCCGTCCTGCAAGGTCCCGCCATCCCCAGCTCCCCACACCAGCCCGGGACTTCAGCACCAGGCTCATCTGGCTGGCCAGGAGGACATGGTCGCTGGGCCCTGGCGCCTGACCACTCACCCATTGCTTGCGGGCGTGGTTCCGGCGTTTGAAGTACAGGATCAGCTTCTTCCGCATCGCCTGGTTTCTGTGGGTGGGAGAGGTCAGCCTCAGACTGCAGGGCAGCGGCCCAAACCCGCCCAGGCTGCTGGGGGGTGAGGTGCAGACACGGGGCGGCTCCAGTGGAACCACCAGCGCCACCTCAGGTACAGCAGACAGCGAGGCCGGCCTCGGTCCACAGCCCCTGCCTGAGGCCTGGCAATCACGGCCTTCGACCTTTGAGAGCTGCCCAACACATGCCCAGGACCCTAACTGGGGTCCCGCCGCTGCTCCTGGGTGGGGCCTGGCCAGCCCTGGGCTCTGCCCTGGCCGCCATGGCATCCCACCCTGTGCTGGGCGCAGGCCTGGGAAAGCCGCAGGGGGCTCGGGGCTGGCGGCCACGCCCCCTCTCACGGTGGGGGTGGGGGGAGGGAACAGGTTTCTACCACCGGCAGCCGGCAGGGAGGTGTGCAGAGATGGACAGAGAGACCAAGGCACAAGGAGTCCCAGAGACCAAGTGATGGGATCCAGAGATGGGGACAGACTGGAGAAACGGAGAGTGGAGATCAAAAGGAGGGCAGACACCTCGGGACGGACAAACAGACGCAAGATGGGGGAGGGGGAGCAGACAGGAAGTCACAGCATTAGAGGAAAAGGACTCGGACTTGAGGGAAGATGCTCAGCAGAGCAAACGAGGGATGTGGACACCCCGCGTCAGCCACCCGGAGAACCCCGGGCCCCAACCCTGACACACAAGCCAGAAGCCACAGTGAGTGTCCAGGGCATCGGGGGCCAAGACAGGAGCCAGGACTGCCACCTCCCTGAACCGATCCCCAATGCAGGTGCACACGGCCTTCCTGAGGGTCCCCACACGCCCCAACCAACAGAAAAGCCACCCCGGTACTGAGCCCAGGAGGGCATCACCCTGTGACCTCCAATACCCTGATTTAAAAGGACAAGGGGAAGTCAGGCGCCGGTGCCTCACACCTGTCATCCTAGCTACTCAGGAAGCTGAGATCTGAGGATCTAGGTTCAAAGCCAGCCCAGGCAGGAAAATCTATGAGACTCTGATCTCTAATAAACCACTAGAAAGCCAGAAGTGGTGCTGTGGCTCAAGAGGTAGAGCGCTCTCCTTGAGCTAAAGAGTTGGGGGACTGCGCCCCACGACCGACAAAAAAAAAAAAAAAAAAAGACCAGAGGAGCAATAAGGCACCCATGCACTCCAGGGCCAACAGGCCTGGACCACCAGCCTAGGTGTCCCGGGGCATGCACGAGGCCCTGGCCACCCCATCCACGGTGTAGCAGGCCCCGGGGTCCCCGCGCCCTAGCCCACTGTATCCTGAGCACATGTCACAAGGTTTCCCCACCAGCATCCAACATCCATCATCCAGCAGCGTCCCCTTGGGACTGCCCTGGCTTGGAGGGGAGCGGGGGTGGAGGGGATGGGGGGGAGAGACAGACATGAGGAGTGATTCAGGTGGCGACCCAGCCACCGCCGGGGTCCACTCACAGGAAGCAGGCACCTGGCAAGGGACCTAACATGGGGGCTAGAGCTCAGGGTTCCGGCGGAGCAGAGGCCTCCCAGGGGGACATGAGCTGAGGGCATCTGGTCAGCAGGGCCAGCTGGGGGCCCCTGGCAGCCCACACTACAAGCACAAAAGGAAAGGTCAACTGGGTGCCAGTGGCTCATGCCTGTAATCCCACTATTCAGGAGGCTGAGATCTGAGGATCATGGTTCAAGCCAGCCCAGGCAAGAAAGACTGTGAGACTCTTATCTCCAATAAACCACCAGAAAACAGGAAGTGGTGCTGTGGCTCAAATGGTGGAGCGCTTGCCTTGAGCTGAAGAGCTGAGGGACAGCGCCCAGGCCCAGAGTTCAAGCCCCATGACCGACAAAAAAAAGAAGTGAAGCTTAGAGCAATCTCAGCACATGAAGCAAGCAAAGACCAGGAGCACCAGGGAGGGACACGGGACACGGGACACGGGACAGATTGGAGACACTGAGACACAGCACCCAGGTCCTGGTTCTAACGCCTCTCCCCAGGGAGTGGTGGGGCTTCCTGGAGCAATGGTGAGGTCCAGGGCCAGACCAGCACAGGAGCCCAGATGACTGCAGACGGCCAGAAAAGGAGAAGGGGGGTCAAAAGGATGTGTGATCCGTTGACACCGGAGTGTAAAATAAACCCCTCCAGCACAGATGAAATAAACGGCTGCATAAAGGAACTGGGGGCGGTGGGGGTGGGGGTGATCCACTGGGCATGTGCAGGAGGGACAGAGCAACAGAGCTAATCTCAGCCTCAGCTGGACCCTCAGGTGGACGCAGCATTGGAGGAGACACTGGCAGGGTCTGCAAGTGTGTCAATGCAGAGGTGATCAGTGATGCACTTCGCTGTCCACGGATTCACGGTGTATCTCCCTCACGTGTGCACGTGCACACGTGCACATTCGCGCGTGTGTGCGCACACACACACGGGTAGGCTGCACCTAAGCACTGGTCTCTACACAGAGCATGGAGGGACCCTCAGCAGTCCCTGAGCGATGGTCACCTTCGTGACCCCCAGTCCCCAGTTCACCCCTCATGACCTTCCTTCCGACATGCAGGCCAGGGGTGGTGACGGTCAAGGCCTGCCAGCCAGTGCTGCACAGGGGGACAGACGCTGGGCAGGAAGGCAGGGGCAGAGCCTGCATGGCTCCTGGAGGGTCTGCCGGGGATGTGGGGGGAGAAGGAGAGCTGGGGGGTGATCGGGGGTTCCTCCAGGAGGAGGTTTGAGCAGAGCAACGGGGAGGGACAGAGTGGGGGAAGGGAGGGGAGGCTACGTCCCAGGGGGTCAGGGAATGCACTCCTGCCTGCTGGAGAAGAGACACGGTGAGCAGGGCCCCTGAGGTGTCCTAAAACCCTGGAAGAGCCCGATGGCCCCGGTGACGAATGACCGATGGCAAGAACCCTGACAGAGGTCGCCTGAGGTCACCCAGGACCCAGGAGGGACAGTGTGGTTCCACAGGTCCGGCCACTCTAGGGCTTGGCTCTGTGGCTCTGGGCAAGTGACTTGGCATCTCTGAACCTCCGCAGACCAAAGAGTTCTGCTAAGGATGCTCTGGGCCCGACGGAGCAGGAGGAAGAGTAACCGGGCCAAGAAAGAGCACAGGGAAGGAAGGCCCAGGCTTTGGGGCCCAGAGGCCCAGGGCCAGCCAAGAAAGCCAGGGCTCCCGGCCAAGGTGGGCGGGGCAAAGCTCCTCACCAGTGTCCAGTCACAGGATGCTCAGGAAGCTGGCGTGCCAGGGGCTGGGCCTGGCAGACCCCAGCCAGCCCTGCCCATGTGCTCCAGGCCGTCCCTGCCTGGCGGCCAGGCTGGCGCCTCTGCGGGCGAGCACAGGTGACCCCCGTGTGTCTGGCGCCTCTGCGGGCGAGCACAGGTGACCCCCGTGCGTCCCAGACCGCCGCGCGCAGGAAGCCGAGCGTGAAATGAGCTTCACCACCGCAAGGCCGGCACACAGACACAGAGAAATTAAAGTGACAGGCCCGGTCCCCGGGGAGCGGGTGACCTCCCACCTAGAGGCAATTACAGCAGCGGGGGAGGGGAGACGCTGAGCGGTGAGGCCGGGGCTGGTGGCGCCCGCCGTAGGCCCCGCCAGATCGATCTTGTCGAGCTTGTCACCGCCAGTGTCACGGCTGTCACCTGCCACGTGCACAGCAAGTGCATCTGTCTCCCCCACTGCGATGTCAGGCCCGGTCCCCCGCCGCGCCTCCAGGCCCAGCCAGGGCTGGCCCAGAGAAGAAAGGAGGGGAGGGGAGAGGGGAAGGGAGGAGAGGGCAGGGGAGGGGAGATAACCTGCTCTACCTTGGCACACAAACACGGGACCAAAGTGCAGCTTTCCTGCCTAAGTCTCAGAGCTCAGCACACGACCCAGACCGTGGTGCCTGGCATGCCTGGGCAGCCAGAGTGGACTGTGTCACCCCTGTCTCCCAACCAGGAAACCGAGGCAAGAGGAGCCAGTGGCCAGCCATGCAGACATGCTGCTTGTCAGAGGAGCCCGGAGCCCCACGCCCCTGGTCGCAGAGGGATGGACTGACATCCACAGCACCAGCGCCGCCACCAAGCTCCTGCGAGGCTGTCACCCGAGGCCCCTGCGTCCCTCCCGTCACCCTGCCCAGGGTCACAGGGGTTTAAAGCGGATGCATGACGCCCACCAGCTGACTCAGGAATGATCACACGAAACTCAAAAAGGGGAAGGGTGCTCTTGGTGCAAAGTGGAGAAAACCCAGCAGGAGTCTGCTGACAACGTGTGCACAACGGCCACAGCTGACAAGAGACGCACTGCATGTGCACACCACAACGGTCACAGCAAGCCTCCTGTGCACTCACGTGGGCTGCTATGAAGAAGAATCCACTTGGGAAAAAAAACCCACTTGCCGCGCACCAGTGGCTCACGCCTGCCATCCTAGCTACTCAGGAGGCCGAGATCTGAGGATCACGGTTCAAAGCCAGCCTGGGCAGGAAAGCCTGTGAGACTCTGATCTCCAATAAACCACTAGAAAACCAGAAGTGACTCTGTGGCTCAAGTGGTAGCCCGCTCGCCTTGAGCTGAAGAGCACAGGGACAGAGTCAAGGCTCAGAGTTCAAGACCCATGACCGACAAACGAAAAAAAAAAAACCACCATTCACAGACACATTGGCCATGCGGCTGACCGCCCGCAGGAAGTTCCAAGGGCTCGCTGTGCTCTAGACGCTGTGAGGGTGCTCCTGTCCTCCCCAGGGCTGCCCCCCAACCCCCCCCAGGGCTGCCCCCCGAGACCCCCCAGGGCTGCCCCTGCTAATGCACTCAGCAAACACAGCCCCTTCTTCAGTTGTGAAAGGCCCCAATGTGAGCCCAGGCTGCGGGGACCCCCAGTTTCTATCTCAGGCCTCAAGCGGAGATGGGGGTGCCAGGTGCACCACCACTCCCAGCCTCAGCGGCTCCCACGGAGTGCGGGGCTCATGCTCTTCTACTGAGAGGAAGATGGAGCTGTGTTTTCTCTCAGGACCCAGTGCACCATGACCGAGTGGATGGACGGACGGATGGACGCCAGGCAGCTCTGATTTCCTGGGGATGCCCCTGCCCCGAAGGCAGTGTGACTAGGCCCTTCACTCTTACCCAGCACCCCTGCAGGGCCCCGGTGGCGGGACGGGACCCAGTGCACCCTCACGGTGTACCCCACACGCCTGTACCCCCAGCCAGTAAGGGAGCACCTCCCAGCGGCCCGGGAGCCATCGGAGCAGCCACGGCTGACCACAGCGGCCATGGGGCCCTCCAGACCCCAACCCCAGAGTAGACCCCGCCTGAGATTCCACACCAGCGGCTGGGACCCCCAGAAGTGTGCAGGTGGGCGCTCAGCACCGCACCTGCCCTGTGCTCCACCAGGCGAAGCTCGGAGGCCTGCCGTGAACAGTCCCCTCCCAGGAGCCCCCAGGAGAGCGGACTCTAGTTCACACATCCCAAGAAGCCAGCGCCCACCCCGCAACCGCCCCCAACACAGCCAATGTCCCCGCCACACCAGCTGTGCGGTACACAGGGGGCTCTCTCCCCTCCTTGCCTCTAGATAGAAAAGCCCACCACTGGGACCCACTCTGCTGGCCCCAGAGCCGCCACTCACCCCACACTGGTTGTGATGCCCCCTCAGCCGGGCAGGACGACGCGTGTGCCCACCAGCCTTGCCCCTTGCCGGCGCGGGCCTCAGCTGGGCACCCACCCCATGCCAGCCCCCAGCTGAGCTCCCCACCCCACCCCAGCCCCCGGCTGAGCTCCCCACCCCATGCCAGCCCCCGGCTGAGC